GCTCACTGCAACTTCTGCCTCCCAGGCTTTAGGGATTCTCCCACCTCAGCTTCCTGAGTAGCTGGGATTACAGTTGTGGACCACCACGCCTGGCTAATTTTTGTATTTTTAGTAGAGATGGGGTTTTGCCATGTTGGCCAGGCTGGTCCCGAACTCCTGGCCTCAAGTGATCCTCCCGCCTCAGCCTCCCAAAGGGCTGGGATTACAGGCATGAGCCACTGCACCTGGCCAGTAAAAGATTTTCATGCATAAACACATATTACATTAGTATAAACTCTGTAGTAGTGATAGAATGGAAATACAAGTTCAAAGAGAAAAGAAAAAATGTGAAATTTCCAGTTAAGGAAGGGCTGTATATTTATTTTGTAAATGGATGGTGGTGTGTACCAGATAGTTATAACATTCAGATTGGACTGCATACATTTAAAACCATGATATGGTAGCTTGTATTTTAAAATGTCAGTGTTTTGGCCATGCACGGTGGCTCACGCCTATAATCCCAGCACTTCTGGGAGGTCGAGCTAGGCAGATTGCCTGATGTCAGTAGTTTTAGACTAGCCTGGGCAACGTGGTGAAAACCCGTCTCTACTAAAAAAATACAAAAAATTAGCCGGGTGTGGTGGTGCACGCCTGTAGTCCTAGCTACTCAGGAGGCTGAGGCAGGAGAATTGCTCAAACCAGGGAGGCGGAGGTTGCAGTGAGTTGAGATCGTGCCACTGCAGTCCAGCCTGGGCAACAGAGCCAGACTCTGTCTCAAAAATAAATACAAATAAATAAATAAATAAATAAATAAATAAATAAAATGTCAGTGTTTCCAATTCACTTGGAATGACATCTCCAACTGTAATATTTTTGATTTAAAAAACCTTAGATGTCAACTTGTAAAATGTGAAAGGCATACATGAACATTGTTTGAAAGCCTCTTTTCTAGCACATCTGTGCACTTTGCCTGCCCCCACCAGTTGCAGGACAACCAAGACTACAGTGTTAGTTCCACATCTGCTCATGCCACTTTTATTGGTTAACGTAATCATCTCGCTGAATTTAAAATTATGTAATAAACTGCAAAAATAGAGCTGTTAAAAGAGAGTTATTTCTAGGAAAACTAGCTGAATGCTTGGGAAAGACATACTGAGTCACTAAATATAATTCTGTTAAATTAGGTGTAAGTGTAAAAGACGAGGGAAGACAGCTTCACGTGTTTCTTTTCCTAAGTTCTTGCTCTCCTTTAAAAGAAAAAAAAAACAAAACAGACAAATATCAAAAAACAGAAGTTGTAATCCAGTGTTTGCCAAGGTTTCTTGATAAGAATCACCTGGGTCATCTGCTAGCTACATAAACAGGCATCTCCCCCTGGAAATTCTGATTCAGGAAGTCTAGGTGGGGGTCTTGGGATCTGATTTTCCTGGTTGTCTGTTTTTGTTTTTGTTTTTGTTTTTTTAAATAAAATAAGGGCTGGAGTCATTCATATCTTCAGGGATATTTGGGGAACACGAGGAAGATTATGGATACGATTTATGTAAGAAAGGTGAGCTCCAATCAGCAGATCCCTACTCAAAACAAAAGGCCTTTAGCTCTATTCCAAAAAAAAAAAAAAA